GGAAAAATGGGGGGGAAATGTGGAAAAATGGGGAAAAAACGGGAGAAATGGAGAAAATGAGGGGAAAAATGGGGAAAATGGGATGGGAGAAGGAGCAGTTTGGGGGGAGGTTCCAAGTCCACAGCATCATCAACAGCAAGAGAAAATGGGGAAAATGAGGAAAAATGAAAAAAATGGGAAAAAATGGGGAAAAACAGGGAAGAAATGGGGAAAATTGATGGAAAATTGGGGAAAATGGGGTGGGAGTGGGAGCAGCTGGGCGGCAGCTTCCGCACCCAGCGCGTCGTCAATGGTGAGAGAAATGGGGGAAAAACGGGGGAAAACTGGAAAATGTGGGAAAGATGGGGGGAAATGGGGAAAAATGGGGAAAAAAAAGGAAAAAAATGGGGGGAAATGGGGAAAAGTGGGGGGAAAATTGGGGAAAATGGGGTGGGAGTGGGACCAGCTGGGAGGCAGCTTCTGTGCCCAGTGCATCGTCAAATGTGAGAAACGGGGTGAAAATGGGGGAAAAGGGGAAAAATGGGGGAAAATGGGGGAAAAATGGGGGGAAATGGAGGAAAAACAGGGTAGAAATGGGGGAAATGGGGAAAAAATGGGGGGAAAATGGGGAAAAATGGGGTGGGAGTGGGAGCAGCTCAGGGGGAGCTTCTGCACCCAGCGTGTTGTCAACACGAGTGAGAGAAATGGGGGAAATGGGGAAAATGGGGGATAAATTGGTGAAAATGGGAGGAAAAGTGGGAAAATTTGGGGGGAAAATGGGAAAAAACAAAGGAAAAATGGGGAAAATGAGGGGAAAATGGAGTGGGAGGTTCTGTGTTCCCACCATCATGAACAGCGAGAGAAATGGGGGGAAGTGGGAAAAAATGGGAAAAAATGGGGGAAATGGGGAAAAAATGGGGGCAAAGAGGAGGTAGTGGAAAAAAATGTGAAAAAATGGGTAAAAATGGGTGGAAATGGGAAAATGGTGAAAAAATGGAAAGAACTATGAGAAAATGGGGGAAATGGGGGAAAATGGAGAAAAATGGGAAGAAAATGTTGAAAAAAAGGAGGAAATGGTGAAAAATGGGAATAGATGGGGAAATGGGGTTAAAATGGTGGAAAAGGGGGAAAATCAGGAAAAATGGAAAAAAAATGTTGAAAAATGAAAAAATGGGGGAAATGGGGAAAAATGGGGGAAAACAGTGAAAAAATGGGAAAAAATAGGAAGGGAATTGGGTAAATGGGAGAAAAATGGGGAAAAATTGGGAAAAATGGGGGAAATGGGGAGAAAAGGGATAAATCAGTGAAAAAAAAAACAAGAAAAAAGTGGGAAAAGGGGATAAAAATGAGGAAAAATGGGGGAAAAATGATGAAAAAATAGGGGGGAGGTTCTGTTCCCCCACCATCACCAACAGTGAGAGAAATGGGGTAAAATGGGGAAAAAGGGAGAAAATGGTGAAAAAATGGGGGGAAAAGGGAGAAAATGGAGGGAGTGGGGAAAATGGAGTAAAATGGAGGGGGAAATGGGAGAAAAATGGCAAAAATAAAAGAAAATTGGCAGAAAGGGGGAGAAGGGAGGGAATGGGGAAAATGGAAAAAAACGGGGGAAATGGTGAAAAAATGGGAAAAATGGCGAAAACAGGGTGGGAATGGTGAAAATGCGGTGGGAATGGGGAAAATGGGGGAAAATGGGGAAAATGGGGTGAAAATGGGGAAAATGGGGTGGGAATGGGGAAAATGGGGGAAAATGGGGAAAATGGGGTGGTAATGGGGAAAATGGGGTGAAAATGGGGAAAACGGGGTGAAAATGGGGGAAATGGGGTGGGAATGTGGAAAATGGGGTGGGAAAAGGGAAAATGGGGTGAAAATGAGGTGAAAATGGGGAAAATTGTAGGGAAATGGGGAAAATGGGGTGGGAATGGTTGAAGTTGGGGTGGGAATGGTTAAAGTTGAGTGAGGAACATCAAGAGGGACCCGAGGACACCAGGAATTGTGGTGACCCCCCAGAAATGGGCAGAGGGTCCCTGAAATGACCTTGGGGAGAACAAAGGAATTGCCCCGATGTCCCCAAGGTCCTCAAGGTGCTCAAAGCTCCTCAAATGTCCCTAAATGTCCCCAAATGTTCCCTAATGTCCCCGAGGTCTCCAATAACCAAGGTCCCAAAGGTCCCCAACATCTCCAATGTCCCCAAGGTCCCCAGTGTCCCCAAGGTCCCCGGTGTCCCCAAGGTCCCTGGTGTCCCCAAGGTCCCCAATGTCCCCAATGTCCCTGCTGTCCCCGATGTGCCTGTGTCCCTGCCGACGTCCCCCTCTGTCCCCCCAGGCTCCTCGCCGGTGGCCTGCCACCCGGTCCCTCTGGGGGACACGCTGCTGCTGGTGGTGGCCCAGCTGCGCGGCGGCTCCTGGGTGTGGCGGCGCTCGGGCGGCCCCGGCTCAGCCTTCGTGCGCCACCAGGCCCTGGGCGCTGGCCGCCTGCGCCGGCCCCACGCCGTGGCCGCCGCACGCCTGGCCGGGCACCTCTACCTGGGGGTGGCCGACAGCTCCAAGGGTGGCGCCAGCACCGTGTTCCGCTGGGCCGCCGGCGGCTTCTACCCGCACCAGGCACTGCGGCCGTGGCAGCGCGACACCCACCTGGAGTTCCTGGAGCTGGGCGGGCGGCCGGCGCTGGTGCTCTGCGGCGCCGCGCGCCGCCCGCTCGTCTACCGCTGGAGCGGCGAGGCCTTCGCGCCGCTCACCGACATCCCCCACATGCCCGACGCCTACGCCGCCAAGCACTTCCGCCTACGCGGAAGCGTCTTCCTGTGCCTCACCAGGTTCCTGGGAGACGCCAAGGTGGGGTCATGGTGGGGGACCAGCACGGTCATGGGGGGTCAGCAGAGATTGGGGTTATGGGGTTCCAGCACGGTCATGGGGTCATGGAGGGTCACCAGGGTCATGTGGTCATGGGGGTCCATCAAGGACATGTGGTTATGGGGGTCCATCAAAGTCATGGGGTCAATCAAGGCCATGGGGTCATGGAGGGTCACCAGGGTCATGAGGTTATGGGGGTCCATCAAGGCCATGTGGTTACGGGGGCCCATCAGGGTCATGTGGTCATGGGGTTCCATCAAGGTAATGGGGTCATGGAGGTCACCAGGTTGCTGGGCGACAAGGTGAGGGCGGTGGGCTGGAAGGGGTGGTGGGATTGTGGTGGGTTGGTGGGGGACCAGCAAGGTCACGGGGGGTCAGCAGGGATTGGGGTTATGAGGTTCCAGCATGGTCATGGGGTCATGGACGGTCATCAGGGTCATGCAGTCATGGAGGTCTATCCAAGGGCATGTGGTCATGGGGGGGTCACCAGGGTCATGGGTCCATGGGGTTCCATCAAGGTCATGTGGTCACAGGGGGTCAGCAAGTCATGTAGTTATGGGGTTCCATCAAGGCTATGTGGTCATGGAGGGTCACCAGGTTCATGGGGTCATGGGGATCCATCAAGGTCACGGGGTCATGGGGTTCCATCAAAGTCACAGGGTCATGGAGGTCACCAGGGTCATGTGGTCATGGGGGTCCATAAAGGCCATGTGGTTATGGGGTTCCATCAAGGTCATGGTGTCATGGGGGTCTATCAAGGCCATGGGGTCATGGAAGGTCACCAGGGTCATGGGTCCACGGGGTTCCATCAAGGCCATGGGGTCACGGAGGTCCATCAGGGTCATGGGGTTCCATCAAGGTCATGGGGTCATGGAGGGTCACCATGTTCCTGGGCGACGTCAAGGTGAGGGTGGTGGGGTTGGGTGGGTGGTGGGGTCGGGGTAGGTTGGTGAGGGTCAAGCAAGGTCACGGGGGGTCAGCAGGGATTGGTGTTATGGGGTTCCAGCACGGTCATGGGGTCATGGAAGGTCACCAGGGTCATGGGGGTCCATCAAGGTCATGGGGTCATGGAGGTCCATCAAGGCAATGTGGTCATGAGGGGGTCACGAGGGTCATGGATCCATGGGGGTCCATCAAGGCCTTGTGGTTATGGACATCCATCAAGGCCATGTGGTAGTGGGAGTTCATCAAGGTCATGGGGTCATGGAGGGTCACCAGGGTCATGGGGTTCCATCAATGTCATGTGGTCATGGAGGTTCATCAGGGTCATGTGGTCATGGAGGTCCATCAAGGTCACAGGGTCATGCAGGGTCACCAGGGTCATGGGTCCATGGGGTTCCATCTAGGCCATGTGGACATGGGGGGGGCCCTGGGGCCACGAGTGGTCACATGTGGGGCCACCAGGGTCATGATGGCCACTCCATGGCCATGGGGGCCCATCAGGGCCACAAGATCCCACCTCTGACCCCTGATGTCAAGTGCAGGAGAAATGCAGGGAGGGCTCCAACCCAACCCAATCCATGGTCACACCACCCATCCCATGGTGCCACCACCCACCCCATGGTCCCACTATCCACCCCATGGTCCCATCATCCAATCCATGGTCACACCACCCATTCCATGGTCCCACCACCCACCGAATGGTCCCACCACCCATCCCATGGTCCCATCACCCATCCCATGGTCCCACCACCCACCCCATGGTCCCATCTCCATCCCATGGTCCCACCATCCACCCCATGGTCCCACCACCCATCCCATGGTGCCACCACCCACCCCATGTTCCCACCACCCAAACCATCCCAACCAACCCAACCCAACCCAAGCCAACCAATCCAACCCAACCCATCCCAATCAACGCAACCAACCCAACCCAACCAACCCAACCAACACAACCCAACCAACACAACCCAACCAACCCAACGAACCCAACCCAACACAACCCAAGCAACCCAACCAAGCCAATCCAACCCAACCAACCCAACCCAAACAACCCAAACAACCCAAACAACCCAACCCAACCAACACAACCCAACCCAACCAACACAACCCAACCCAACTCAAACAACCCAACCAAACTAACCAACCCATCACAACCCAATCAACCCAACCAACTCAACCCAACCTAACCCAAACAACCCAACCCAAGCCAACCAACCCAACCCAACCCAGGTGCTGCGCTGGGAGGGCTCCATGTTCCGTGAGGTGCAGCAGGTGCCAGCACGCGGCTCGCTGGTCTTCCAGCCGCTGCTGCTGGCCGGCCAGCGCTACGTCCTGCTGGGCAATGACTTCGCCCCGAGCCGTGTCTTCCGCCTGGGCGCCGGCGGCCGCCTGGAGCCCGCCCAGGACCTGCCTGCACCCACCCCCCGTGCCTTCGTCCCCGTCGTCGTTGGCCACCGCCACTTCCTGGTGGCCTCCAGCTTCAAGGGGGCCACCCAGATCTACACCCACGTCACCGAGGACGTTGGCACCTGAGGGCATGGCCAGGGCCACCGCCATGTCCCTGAAGGCACAGGGACATCGGGGAACATCAAGGGACATGTGGTAGCTGTTGGTACATGGGCACGATGGCCACCATGCCACCATAGAGATGGGGACATTGGGGGACATCATGGGGACATGTGGTGGCACCTGGAGGAATGTGGTGATGATGGCCACCACATCACCATAGAGATGGTGACATCAGGGGACATCAGGGGTCGCGTGGTGGCAGCTGGGGATGGTGGCCACCTGGAGGGATGTGTGGTGGCATCTGGTGGAATGTGGGCATGGTGGCCAACCCAATGTGGAGATGGGACGTTAAGGGACGCTGTGGGGACACTGGCAGGGACCTGGGGCCACCCTCGCGCGATATCCCCAAGGCCACCGGCGACCCGGAATCCCCAACAGCTTGTGCCACCTCCTGGTGTCACCGTAGTCCCAATGTCCCCAAGGCCACTACTGACACAACATCCCCAAAGCCACTGTCACCCCGATGTCCCCTCCTGGTGCCACTGTGGCCCCAATGTCCCCAAGGCCACCATGGCCTTTATGTCCCGAGTCACTGCCACCACAATGTCACCCTTGGCCTTGTGTCACTTTCTGGTGCCACCATCACCACGATGTCCCCTCATGGTCCCACCATCGCTCTGATGTCCCCAAGGCCACCATGGACCGGATGTCCCCTCCTGGTGCCACCATCACCCAATGTCCCCAAGGCCACCATGGCCCTAATGTCCCCTCCTGGTGCAACCATCACCCGATGTCCCCAAGGCCACCATGGCCCTGATGTCCCCAAGGCCGCCATCGCCACGATGTCCCCTCATGGTCCCACCATCGCTCTGATGTCCCCAAGGCCACCATGGCCCTGATGTCCCCTCCTGGTGCCACCATCACCCAATGTCCCCAAGGCCACCATGGCCCCGATGTCTCCAAGGCCACCATGGCCCCGATGTCCCCAAGGCCTTGTGTCCCCTCCCGGTGCCACCGCTGTCCCGCCGTCGCCATGTCCCCTCCCCCGCTGACCAAAATCCGTTTTTTTCACCCATTTTTTATTCATTGCCTTTCCTGGGGACATTTTGGGGACATTTCAGGGAAATCAACGCCACCCCTTCCCCCCTGTCCGGTGTCACCTGTCAGGGACATCTGGGGACACCCGTGGACAGCTCAGGCTCCTGTGGAGAGAGGGAGGTGGTCAGGGTGGTGGCACTGTCCCGCGGTGTCCCCAAAGTGTCCCCAGGGGGGAGGGGACACTCACTTGTCCCAGCTAGAGGTGACAGCTCTGGGGTGGGATGGCGACGGCTGCGGGGGGGAGGGGACACCTCAGTGTCCCCAGAGTGTCCCCAAGTGTCCCCAAATCCCCCAAATGTCCCCAAGTGTCCCCAAATCCCCCAAATGTCCCCAACCCACCCCGTCCCCCATGTCCCCGACCCCCCAATGTCCCCAAAGTGTCCCCGATGTCCCCAAATGTCCCCAATCCTCCAACCCCAAATCCCCCTCAGTGTGCCCAAGGTTCCCAAAATGTCCCCATATCCCCCAAAGTGTCCCCAGTGTCATTCCCCGATGTCCCCAAATGTCCCCAATGTCCTCAAGTGTCCCCAAAATGTCCCCAAATGTTCCCAAATGTCCCCAATGTCCCCAAATGTCCCCAATGTCCCCAAATGTCCCCAGGTATCCCCGAATGGTCCCGAATCCCCCAAATGTCCCCAGATGTCCCCAAATCCCCCAGATGTCCCCAAATGTCCCCCGGTCTCACCTGGCCTTGCTCTGGCACTTGCATTTCCCACCTGAGGGGACACAGGTGACACAGGTGACAGTGTGACTGGGGTGGCACAGGTGACACACAGGTGACACAAAAGGCACAGAAGTAACACAGAAAGTGACAGGTGGCAATGTGACACAGGTGACAAGGGTGGCACACAGGTGACACAGGTGACAATGTGACACAGATAACACAGAAGGTGACACAGGTGACAGTGACAGGGGTGGCACTCACTGAGCAGGACAAGGACCCCCAGCACGCTCAGCACCGCAGCCACCGTGAGGCCACCGACGCGCAGGTGACACCAGTCTGGGACAGGGACAGGGACACTGGGACAGCTGGGGACACTTTGGGGACATTTGGGAACACCTTGGGGACAGTTTGGGGACATTTTGGGACATTTGGGGACACTTTGGGGACATTGGGGACCCTCCCAGTTCCCGCACTCACCTAACTAGAAGGGACTGGAGGCATCTGGGGGGAAAGGGAGGGGTCAGAGAGACCAGCAGGGACCAGTAAAAACCAGTATGGACCAGTATAGACCGGCATGGACCAGTACAGACCAGCACGGACCAGTATGGACCAGTATAAACCAATTTGGGCTTTCCATCCCAGTCCTTCCCAATCTGTCCCAGTCCCTCCCAGTGTGTCCCAGTTTGTCCCAGTCCCTCCCAGTTTGTCCCAGTCTGTCACAGTCCGTCCCAGTTTGTCCCAGTTTGTCCCATCTATCCCAGTCACTCACTGGGGGTGTCGCCTCTGGCCAGGGACAGAACTGGGAGGGGGAGGGGACAACAGTTAAACCAGTTTGGGCTGGGACTGGGCCCAGTTCCCCCCAGTTATCCCCAAAATCCTCCCAGTACGGAGCAGCCCATCCCAGTATGGACCAGTAACCCCTGAAATCCTCCCAGTACAGACCAGCCCATCCCACTATGGACCAGTAACCCCCGAAATCCTCCCAGTATGGACCAGCCCATCCCAGTATGGACCAGTAACCCCCAAAATCTTCCCAGTATGGACCAGTCCATCCCAGTATGGACCAGTAACTCCCAAAATCTTCCCAGTATGGACCAGTCCATCCCAGTAACCCCCGAAACCCTCCCAGTCCCTCCCAGTTCCCTCCCAGTAACCCCCCAGTTCCCTCCCAGTATAAACCAGTTACAAAGACCCCTCTGTGCCAGTGTGTCCCAGTCCCTCCCAGTACAAACCAGTCCCTCCCGTAACCCCCCAGTCCCTCCCAGTTCCCTCCCAGTTCCATCCCAGTTCCCCCCCAGTCCCTCCCAGTACAAACCAGTACCTCCCAGTATCACCAGTGCCTGGAGCTGTTTCCTCTCCATTCCGTGACCTTTGATCCCTGGGGGGTGGAGGGGACTGGGACAAACTGGGACAAACTGGGAGGGAACTGGGACAAACTGGGACAAACTGGGAGGGAACTGGGAGGGAACTGGGGACCGGTGAGTCACTGGGATTCCTGAGCAGGGCAGAACTGGGATGAACTGGGACAAACTGGGGGGAGCTGGGGGGGACTGGGACCAACTGGGGACTACTGGGAGAGAACTGGGCAAACTGGGAGAGACTGGGATGAACTGGGGGGTTACTGGGATGGACTGGGAGTGACTGGAGGGTTACTGGGAGGTTACTGGGAGTTACTGGGATGAACTGGGAATCACTGGGGGTTACTGGGAATTACTGGCATGAACTGGGAATCACTGGGGCCCCACTCACCTTCCCAGAGCAGCCGCAAGAACTGGAAATGGAGGGGGAGAACTTGGAGGGGGCGTGGCCAATGGAAAATGGGCGTGGTCAATGAAAAGGGCGTGATCAACTATGGGGGCGGGGCAGAGGTTTGGCCGCGGAAGGACTGGGATGAACTGGGGGATACTGGGACGAACTGGGAGTGGCACTGGGGGATACTGGGACGAACTGGGAGTGGCACTGGGATGCACTGGGAGGGATTGGAGTGGCACTGGGGGATACTGGGACGAACTGGGAGTGGCACTGGGATGCACTGGGAGGGACTGGAG